TCTTTTCAACTTGAATGACTACTTTTAGAATATCTTGTAGGGTAGCTCTAATGGAAATGAACTCCTTCTTTTATTTATCTGGTAATGTCTTAATTTCTCCCTCATTTTTGAAGAAGAGTTTAAGTGGATATAACATTCTCTGTGTTTTTTTTTTTTTTCTTTTAGCATTTTAAATATATCATCTCACCACCTCTGGATTGCAAGATTTCTGCTGAGAAATCAACTGATAATCTTATTGATGATCCCATATACATGACAAGTTGCTTTTTTCTTGCTGCTTTCAAGATTGTCTCTTTGTCTTTGGTTTTTGACACTTTATCGTATGTCTCTATTGGTTCATCATACTTGTATTTTGTTGAGACTCTTGGATTTGTATATTTGTCTTTCCTTAAATTGGGAAGTTTTCATCCATTATTTCTTCAAATAAGCTCTCTGACCTTTCTCTCTCCTTTCTGAGATTTTTATGATACATGTAATGATTCACTTAATGGTGTCCCATAGTCCTTTAGGCTCTTTTCACTTTTCTTCATTTTTTTGTCTTTTTGCTCCTCTTTCTGTAATTTCAGATGTCTTCAAGTTTTCTGGTTCTTTCTTGTGCCTTTTCTTGTGTCTGCTGTTGATTTTCTGTAGTGAATTTTTAATTCAATTATTTTATTTTTCAGATCTAGAATTACTAGGGTTTTTGTGGGGGGTTTTTTTTTGTGTGTGATTTCTGTCTCTTTGTAGGTATTCTTGTTTTTGCTATTATCTAGTTTTACTGATTTCCTTTTGTTCTCTGTCCTTGTTTTCCTTTAATTCTTTGAGCATATTTAAAACAGTTGTTTAAAAGTCTTTTTCTAGTAAATCCCAAGCCTGTGTATTGTTAGGTTGGTTTCTTGAGATTTATTTTGTTTCTTTGAATGGATCATGTTTTCCTTTTTTGTTGTATGCTTTTGTGATCTTTTATTGAAAATTGGGCATTTGAAAAAGCCACTTCTTTCAGACTTTGCAGACTGCTGTTTACTAGAGAAGGCCTTCACCAGTTAGCCCTGAGCAAAGGCTTAAGGTCTTCCCAGGTCTTTTCTGGGCGTGTATCATCCCTCAGCCTGTGTGTTTGCTTCTTTTCTCAATTCTCCTGTATATACAACTGCTTTTAAAGTGGCTTAATTTCCCTTAGATTTCACCTCTCCATCTTCTCGGAGCCTTAGATATTCTGTTGTATTACTTTACCTTTAATTTCTTGTCCCATGTACCTGCAGTTGTTACGTGCTGTGTAGTCTGACACTGCTTTTATTGGCCTTTAGCCTGATAT